AAATTCATTGAAATTCTGCTACAGCAGACGTTGGGCCCGAGTAGAATAACAACATACAAGAGAGCGATCAAAACTACGGGCAGATTCTATAAACCCGAGCTACAGAGGCATTGTCGCACGCGTAGGTGCGGAATTGTGTGGCAAGAAAACTGTGTGCATTCTCCATTTCTGCTATCTACCCTCGTTATTCGTAGGTATTATATAGCTAATTATTACTTTTTCTATTAAGGTGGTGTGTTCTTATTACTGTTGCAATGATATGTTTCTCTAGTCTAGCTAAACTCGTTGCTTTTGTGGCCTTGCATAGGTTGTGGTACACAACTACTGCTCTTAAAACTAAGCACGTAGAAAAATAAGGAGTCAACAATAGGTCAGGCAAGTGCTGGGATGCAAGAGTGGTAGCAATTTCTTAAAAGCAGTAAGCATAGGTACAACCGATGCTAAAGCTGGTTATACATGAAGAGCTGGTGATTTTGGCATTAACTACACATCAGATACGAGTTTCTCTAAGACGCACTTCAAATCAGCACTCTTCCCCTCACCCGCATCTACCTCGTCTACCAGTCTAATTATGTCTTCCTTTAGTCCTCTTAGTACTGTTCTCGTGTACAAGAAGCTGCCACGTCTCTCTATATACGATACCGCATCCCGCTTGATCGCATCTTCGTTCGTTCTTTGACGGAGGATATCAAGGAGGAAGGAGCTACTAGGCTCGGATTGGATAGCATAGATGATAGGAAAGCTGAACTTTCCCTCAGATAAATCCTCACAAAGACCTTTTTTCTGTGTGTAAAGACCATCGGTAAGATTGCGATAATCATCCAGAACCTGGAAGAGAACACCAATCGAATTGGCGAGTCTCACGTATCTCGCAACATCCTGTACCCGTCTCGATTCAGCACACATGAGTTTGACGGCTAACCGAAACAGTCCCCCAGTCTTGTTGCTGACCATTTGAATGTAATCAGGCTCTGTAGGGCAGGTTGATGTATCGCGCCAGAATATATCCATTCCTTGTCCGCGGTGTAGGTTTAGCAACTCCTCTGTATAGATCTGAATAAGTTCTGCATTTCCAAGAATAGAGAGATCTCTCAATGCGCAGAAGTAGACATAGTTGGCAGAGTTGATCGTCTGTGCGGTTCCAAAGACGTCGTGCGCTACAGGAGCACCTCGTCTCAGTCGGCTGTTATCCTGTATGTCGTCGATCAGGAGGGAAGCTGTATGTAGCATACCGACTACTCGCATAATAACTGACAAAGATTGTCCTGGTACTTGTAGCCATGTATTGAATGCATGCATGAATTGTGACCGGAGTTCCTTTCCAGGCAGCGCCTCGAGGTAATGGAACGGCTCCATTAGGATATTTTCCTTATCGGAACTCCACATCATATCGTTTATAGAATGTGTAAGGTAGCTTGTTCTGTTCTTTGAACACCTGTCGACAACAGGAATTTCCCCATCGAATTGATCCTGGCCGTATTCAAACTTAGTAGAGAGCCTTGGGCTGAGCTTGCACTGCTGCGTCATATCCACTCGAGGTAGGTGGTGAATAAGATAAACAAGAGGCTTGATAGT